TGCTGCTGATCTGTTTCATGTTGCTGCTGATCTGTTTCATGTTGCTGTGTTCATGCATGCTCATCTGTTCACACAGACTCATGTCCGTGCTGCTGTTTGCGTATTGTGTTTAATGTTTTTATGCTATTAGAGCTTATCATATTTTTAGTTGATGTTTTTCTTGGTTCATATCTTAGATCTTATTACTGTTTTTCTTTTATATTTTATTGTTGGATGTAACTGGGACCCTGTGAACATAATTTTGATCCACCACATGTACCACGTGGTGCAAATGACAAAGAATATCTGCATCTGTATAATACTTTCTGATTCATATATCCCTTATTATCATTTTCATTATTATTAATCAATTTATTTTTCATTTTCTTATTTGATCAGTTTATTATTATTAATATATCTATTATAGCTGTTAGCTGCACCTTTCTTTGTTTTATGCATTTATTCAAAAACAGTATGTAGCTTGAATTAACCACCTGTTTCTTGTTTCTAGTGAAGAGAAAGAGAAAAGAGTCCAGTAAAGAAAAGTCTTATTTCATCACTGAATGAACATGAAGAACTGAAGTGGACACAGCAGGAACAACACTTGTGTCTTCTTCTGGATGAAGCCCGTGAGACGAGGGACACACAGATACACAATCATTAGTTGGACGCAGTAGTTTTTATTTTTATACATTTTTCACTTCTTACTTTTCCTATTAAACAATTTTTTTCTTAAGTGGTGTCCTTGAACATTAAATTTCCTAAACAAATTTTAAATGTTAAGTTCATATAGTGTTTGTTTAAATTCATACTGGAAGTTGAGAAGAATTTCCAGTTGCATTTGATCTTTAATGGATCCTAAGAAAAGATTACCAGAATCTGCTCAACTGTTATTATTTTATAAAATTTTTGGTTCTAGGATGAAGTGAGACAAAAACAGTCAAAAATTCAGAAAAGACAGTTATCATTTATCAGTTATCGTTTATCAGTTATTGGCCATACAACTGTGGCCCGAGAGATTCAGCTGAAAGTCCTGATGCACCTTTTATTTGAACCTGCAGAGATTTGAACAGCTGATCTGAAGCAAACAGGCAGGAGTTCACCTGAACTGACCACTCCTGCTGTTTGATGGTCTCCTTCTTCGCCATCCGTCCATCCATCCATCCATCCATCCATCCATCCATCCATCCATCATCCATCCATCCATCCATCCATCCTCTTCTGCTTCAGGGTTGTGGGAGCAGCATCTTCACCAGGGAGGCACAGACATCAACATCCACCTCTTCAACTCTTCTAGGATCCCATGGTGTTCACAGACCAACTGACTATTTATTAATTAATATCCTGATGCTGCTCAATAATCCAGGTAGAAAAATCTAAAAAGTCAAGTCTGGTCCTCTGGACATTCACAAAACAAACAATACAGTTTATAATAAATAAACTAAATGTTTTTTGTTAGTTTTGTTTTTTGAATGTCCAGAGGACCAGACTTAACTTTTTCAGATTAATAAGTAATTCATTTATGTTTTTAAATTTAATGAAAAACAAACCTTTAAAATTTAATGACAAAATTTAATCTAATTGTTTTCAAGTCTTATTGTAAAAGTAGTTTCAAAGATTACAGCACAGTGTGATGTTTTGTAATTTTAACATGAACCTTGTGCATATCTGTAAATAATAAAAGTGAAGATATTTTTAATACATCTTTATTGTAAAAATCTATACTAAAATGAAAAACACATGGGTTTAAAGCAGCAGGAAGGCAGTAAGGTAGGATTATGAATCAGGTTTATAAGTTACAGCTCATGAGGTACTCCATCAGAGCATGACATCTCTTCCACAACATCGTGTGACAAAACCTTCAGGGTGTTCTTCTTCTAATACGTTTAGTGGTGGCTAGTAAGTAGCTTAAGGGAGCACTACCGCCACCAGGTGGTAAGACCAGTTGGATTCTAGTCCCTGCCTACAGAGCTGGTCCAGAAATGTACATGGAAACGCAACAGACCCGAACCGATCTGAACCAACCCGAACTGATCTGATCCGCACTGTGACAGTGGAAAAGGGGTATTAGAGCAGTCATCCTCCAATGCAAGAGTTGGTGGTCCGATTCCACCAGCATTCACATGCTGAAGTGTCTCTGGGCAAAACACTGAATCCCTCATTGCCTCCAATGTGTGTCCCATCGGTGTATGAATGTGATAAAGCTCTGATTAGTCTTTGCATAGTAGAATGCTGTATGAATGGGTAAATGAGGACACAGATTGTAGTGTAAAGAGCTTTGAGTGTCTTCATAAGAGAGAAAAACGCTATAAGTACAGTCCATTTACCAGTTCTTTGAATCAGGTGTGTGGAAGAAGCGGCATGGTGGCACAGTTGGTGGAGATGTTGCCTCTCAGCGAGAAGGTCGCAGGTTCAAATTCCAGCCCAGGACCTTTCTGGGTGAAGTGTGCATGTTCTCTCCGTGCATGAGTGAGTTTTCTCCTGGTACTCCTGTTTCCTCCCACATACCAAAAACATGCATGTTAGGCTGATGGGTGACTCTAAATTGTCCCTAGGTGTGAATGAAAGAGTGAAAGGTTGTTTGTTTCGTTTGTCTCTATGTGTCCCTGTGAGAAACTGGAGACCTGTCCAGGTGTCCCTTGCCTCTCGCACAATGATGGCTGGACATGGGAACCAGTGAACTTCGCAAAGGGAAAAGGAAGAAGCGGGTAAAGCTAATGAATGGATGGGTGAAGGTGTGTGGAAGCAGGAAATATAGCTATACCTTGCAAAACACTGTGCCACGAGGACCAGGATTTGGGACTTTTGTCATTGTGGAGTTTTTGTGTAGCATGGATCCATTTTTAATATTTAAGTAATTTTAGACCAGAAACACCTAATTATATGATTCAAGTTTAGCAACTATATAAAAAAAATGTTTTTTTATCTGTTGTATGTGGTAAACGTAAGTTTGTTTTCTGGTCTGAGAAACTTTACAACCACTAGGATTTCGACTGTACCAGTTTATATCTAGCCATGACCAGAGCAACAATATGGGAGACAACAGTTATAGTATTTGTGTTTGTTGTGGTTGATTTAAAATCAGACAACTGAGTAACAAGTTTCAGAGACATAAAACATGTCACACTCACATTTGGCAACATCTCAATGACAGATGTCAACATGTACAGTAATTCTGGCAGCTCTTAAAATATGATGAACATTTCGCTTCATGACTGACAATTTAAAAAAATCTATGTTGCTGAATTAAATAAGAACATCAAAAAATGATTTTCTGTCATGTTATATTTCAATGTTATAATCCACAACTTAAAGGTAATATTTTTTTTGGTCTATGCCAATGTGGGTAAAATGAGGAAATCAAATTTCCTAAAGCTGTTTCTAGTTTGATTCAGTCTAAGTCAATTTCCTTATAATTTGCCCATTTGTTCATGTGGACCAGGCCAACAAAGATGCTAATGACCCTCAGGAGGAAGGGGAGTGAGAGTAATTTAAAAGTGGCATCAGCTCGCACAAATGGAGTAACTCGCTGCGGAACTCATCACTTTTCATTTTGAATTGAGAGAAACTCCTCAGCTGAGACGCAAAACGTTTTCAACAAACAAGAAAAGAAGTTCAGTCTTTTGTGTTGTAGAACTTATTAAGCTTTGTAGCCAAATCTCACGAGGCAGTAAGTGTAAGAAAACTCACAAATCCCTCAAAAGTAGAGCATTTTTGCATGGAAAGCAGGAGAAAATCTTTTTCTTTGAGAAATGAGAGTTTTAGCTGTTTTCAAAGCTGTTTATAAATGCTTGTTTGTGCTCTTTTATCATCTTGCTATTTTATTAGTAGTAACAATTAATCTTACTTTCAAGGTTTAAGAAATGTAACGCCTTTCTCTAAATACCTTCTGTGACATGCCTCCCTTCCCCCCTGTCTAACAATGCTCCTGTCCATCTCTGCAGCGCATCATCTAATACAGCAGCAACATTATAAGACACAGCGCTGTGTTATCTTTTCCTCCCAGGTCTCCTTTTGCTGCAGTGGCAGACTACTCAGTTATCCGAAATAATGTCATTCAGCTCTGCCTGGAGCTCACCACCATTGTACAGCAGGTGTGTGAAGTGTTTGTGTGCATGTTTTGAAGGCTGATAGCTTTTATTCTCTGCTTGAAGTGCGAGGCTGAGAGGAGCTGCCGTGGGTTGACATATCCCCCTAAGAGCGGTGTGTGTGGGTGTGATGCAGCAGTCTCAGACTCCGCATCCTTGAACGAGACATGATTCTGTGCTATTTAAGTCCTTTACAATCTGCCTTTTTATTTTATCGATGTGTGTGTAAATACAATATAAATGCGTGTCTGTTTGTGTGGGTGTGTGCTTTGCTTTTTAATCTGTGAGGGGATACAGTATGCAGGTGGTTCAGGTTCAGTAATGTGGGGCCCAGACAGCGTTCAGAGGTACGTTAGCATCATGAGATAGTGAGTGTGTGTGTGTGTGTGTGTGTGTGTGTGTGTGTGTGTGTGTGCATGATGGGATGTTCTGCTCATGCTACATTAAATTTGTCTCCTCCCTCAGGACTGTACGGTTTTTGAGACGGAGAACAAAATCCTTCATGTGGTAAGTTTCTCTTCCTAACAAAGATGTCGCTTCTTGGGCTCATTTCCTCCATTCTTACTGAAAATTCACAAACACGAGCAATTTTTTTCCTTTTCTTCCACAAGTCCATGATAAACATCACTAATGCTTTTATTGTTTGGTTTGGAGTTACAGCTGGAGGTGATTAGCATATTTTACTTTAGAGGTGAAACAGTGAAGAACCACTTGAGCTTGTCGCTTGTCAAAGCACAGGTGTGTTCATTTTTGTTTGTTTATGTTGGAAATATTGTTATTTTATGTTTAAGTGTGCAACATTATTCTCCTTGACTTTGCTGCTTGTTCCAAATTTACCCAATCACAGTGATTTCCAGTAAGATCACTCAACAACCAAGGCTATTAGTAACATTACTTAAAGCTAGCTTGCATAACTTAAATTTATTGCCATTAGGTTTGAAAATGTATACGTGTTTTATTGGTTAAATTTAACTCATATCTAAAAGAATAACTTCCATTCTGTACTTGCTTCAATAATCTGGATCATAGACATAAACTAATAGACCATTTGTCACTCACAACACGTAAAGAGGAACTTAAAATATCCTCTGCCCAGCTGTTTGTCTGTATTGTGATCTGGATAACTTGGAAAAAAAAAGTTATGTACACCGACTTCTATTAAGGTGTGTGGCTGCATCTAAGAATAAGAAAGGACTTGTCAAAAAATTTGGTTGCCACATCAAAATCCAAGATGGTCACCACCATATATATATATATATATATATATATATATATATAAACCGGCCACCCCAATAATTTAGGGAAACTGTGCTTTCTAGTTTTTATATTGCTCCTAAGTACAGTTTACTTAAATGATTGGGGTGACCAGTGGGGTGGCCAAAGATAAAATCTATTGTGGCCAAAGATAAAATCTATTGTAACCAAGGCCACCATTGGCCAACACCTGGTGCACCTGGTAGTGAATAAAATCGCTCCTTCCACTTGTCAGGATGTGGCATTCTGTGCTGCCTTGGGCTAGCAAACAATAAACTAATAAAAGAAAGCACCACTATTTTTATACACAGTGCAACTCCTATCCACTTGATGTTTCACCAAAAAACATTAAAGTTTACATATATTCTTTCTTCAATTTCAACTACAAACATTCACTATTCAAATTGCTAAGGAACGGGGACACTAGTGTACCTCTTGTTTACATGGGGGGGGGGGGGGGTCCTACTGAAGAAGCTAAAGTGGAGCTGGACACACTCCAGCTTTAACATCCTGATTCTGTTCTTGGGTCAACTAAAGTAAGCCGTTGGTCCCTAAAATATGCTTTAAGGGGGTACTACAGATAATATGTGCAAAATGACTGCCCTAACACAATCCTAAGAGAACCACCTTATTGTCTAGTTTGTCCTCTTGTCTATTGTCTAGAACTTTAACTTTCATGTTGGGAACCATGTGGGAGAGCAGTCTAGAACTTTA